CATTGAAGTTTTGAATGAGCAAAAAAAATCGAAAAAAAAAATTTTATCGAGTGCCTCGTATATTGGAGCGATGCTCGATCAGCTCATGGAAGCTCTCTTAATTATCAGTTCAATATTTTACAGTTTTCTGTCTACACTATTCAATTTTTGTCCGATTAGTAATCCGTCATTCAACAAAATCATAGAACAAACAACAATTCAACAAAGCGCGAGGTTGAATAAAAACCCATCAAATTGTTTAACGTCCTTTGTCAACTGCGATCACAACTTCGACTATAATGAACAAAAAGTATTCAATGAAACAACATATAATTCGACACCGGGAAGTCAGAAAAAGACAAAACAGATGGACTAAACTTCAACAATATGGACAATATATTCCCAATAGATATTATATATCAATGAACTGAATGATTTTGTGCAAAGTTATTTAAAGCCACCTGATGAGACTCTTAGCCGAGTCGAAACGTGTCGTGGTAGCTACTGAAAATTCTTCAAAATTTGTTTTTTGTTGAATTTTTGTTACTAAACTCACCATGTTTGAAGAGTGGTAGAAAGAAACAGAGAGAGAACATTATGAAAAATGAATCGTCATGCGTTCCCGTCCTGTTTCTTCAACTCCGAGTGAATGAAGTGTACTGTGTATTAAAAAAAGTCATTATATTGAAGAAAACCAATAACAATCTAACCGAACTAGTAAAAACCCACTCCTTTTCTTTTTTTGATTTCAAGAGTTCACATAAAAAAGTAACAGTCATATTTTCGTCAGCATCGTTTTCTTTTTTTCCCTTTTATTTTGTGTGCCTCTTTCACACGTCATAAGAAATTTCGAAACATTGTGAAACAATCAATGCCGTGTTCTAAGCGTATATATTTACTTCGTTCCGATTTCATAAAATCAACTTGCTGCGTTTCCTCTAGAAACGTTGGACGAAAGTTCTAAACACTACTATCTTCGATTGTAACTCTCCTGTAATTTATAACTTTGTGATCCTTTACGTGCCTTTAGATAATTCAAAACTCTATCCAACATCATAAAATGCTCATATTTGTTAAGAACCTCACTGGCAAGACGATTACACTCGAATGTGAACCTTCAGATACAATTCCAAATGTGAAAGCCAAAATTCAGGATAAAGAGGGATTACATCCAGACCTGCAACGACTTATGTTTGCTGGTCGGCTATTAGACGACGGTAAGACTTATACATCTGCAGTATTCTCAAAAAAATTAAAACCCTTTCTTCTATGAGGTGATAGAGTTGCTTTCGATAAGTTTGTGTTAGATACAGCGAATTTTAGTAATCTTGATAAGGTATATGAGCTCAGCGAAAACTATCTTTTTCTTTAATTGAGTTTTAATGACTTTCTTTTAGAGCGAACTTTAGCCGATTATAATATCCAGAAAGAAAGCACACTACAAATGGCACTTCGACTACGTGGTGGCAACCTTGGTGTCGATTTTGTTGATTTAAGTGATGGAAGTGGTTTGAAAAGATTAAATTGGTCAACAAGTGCACCAGAATGGCTTATAGCTAGTCCAGGATTGTGTTTAGAAGGACAGTGTACTAATAGAAGCTGTAAAGCATATTCACAGACAGTTATAATGAACATAAGATTCAAGAAATTCGATATGCTTTTGGGTGTGAATGAGACAACTTGCAAATGTCCGATGTGCCAGAAATATGTTAAACCAAAAACATGTGCATTCAACCGATGTTGGTGGTGTTGGAAAGGTGTTAAAGAAGGAGGGGCAGGTGAACCACCAAAGCCGTGTTCCGGCAATTGGAAAGAAGCTGATAATGCATATCACCGTTTTGACGAACAGATAAGTGGTAGTGTCACTTGGCGACAACTTATCATAGAAGCTGTGGAAAATAAACCGTGAAAGAACGAAATGAAAAGATTAAAACATAACCGAGAACTAATATGACTTCTGTATTTTTCACCTTTTAAATAATAAACATGGTTTTTAAAAGTCGTCTTAAACAGTCTTTGCGACCATCCCACTATAAGATAAGGAATTTTCCGAATTATCGGGTACCTCTGCACCAGTTACCGTCAAGTATCAGAACTACAGACTCGCAAACTATACAGAAACAAATACCACAACACTTTAGAATACACTTTTGTCATTTGGGTTTAGTTTTTAATGCGATAGGGAGTTGTTACAGCTGATTTATTGGCAGCACAATAAGGGTATGGGTGTGGGTGTGGGTGTGGGTGGGTGTGGGTGGGTGTGGGTGTGGGTGTGGGTG